AGAGAGAGAGAGAGAGAGAGAGAGAGAGAGAGAGAGAGAGAGAGAGAGAGAGAGACAAGTAACGTTTTCCTTCTCTGTTTATTTTTAGTCGAATATCTCGCGCGGAAGAAGAATCGCGATTTAACGAACGCAAATTAATGTACACGCTCGCGGAAGGAAGGAAGGAAGGAAGGAAGGAAGAAAGGAAGGAAGGAAGGAAGGAAGGAATAAATGAAAAAGAAAGAAAGAAGGAAAGAAGAAAGGAAAAAGAAAGCAAGGATGGGCCTCGTCTTTTTTCGACATTTTCGTGAAAACAGCAAAATGAGGAGATAACGCGAGCAGGTTAGGACGGAGAAGCGAGTGGTGGTCATCGGGATTTTTTATCGCGGCATAAACATTCCCTCGTTTGCGATTTTCGACCTGGTCACTTTCTCCTCCCCCTGGCCCTTTTCGGTTCCGCGGCGCTACGGCCTTCCCACAGGCGCGCGCTCTTGACCCCGCGATAACCTGAAATCGAGGTCGAAATCCCGCTAAGATAAGGGTCGCACCGACTGGTAGTTTACCGATAACGCGTTATCCCTACCATTCGTCCTTTTTCCACAGCGAGTCCCACCTCCCCTCGCCCTGCCTTGCCACGAAGGTCGGCGGTGATATTGCGCACGCGATAAGAACGTACACACGCGCGACGGTGGTGGTGTATTGCTGTTATTTGCAAACGAAAAGATCGCGCCCGATGTTCTCCGCCGCGGAATCGTCCCATCTGCCGCGATTCGCCGACGGTATTAGAGTATAACGTTCGTGTTGCAGATAAACATTGAAAATCATCTCCACTACCGCTCGTCGTAAACTGACGTTCGTATCTGTTAATTGAGGGAATCGTCAATTTGTAAGGCAAAAGTGCCTGGTCACTAATAAGGCTGGTATCTCTAACTCTGGACATTGCCTTCAAATACGAATATTTAAACTTTTAATATAGGGAGAATATATGTGTATATATGTTTAATATATACATATATGTTAAAGGTTTAAATATCGTATTTTAAGATCAAAATGGTGTCTAAAGTTAGGTGTTCATCAAGTTTTATGGTGTACTTGTTATTCGGTTATATTTCATTATTATAATATTTAACGTACCTTGATAGTTACAAAATAGAGATGATGAGAAATAATGTTAGCAAATATTTTAAATTATTTCGTAGCAGAAAGCGAGACTGTGCGCCGTTGCGGCGACAAGTCGTCAATCACACCGCAAATCCAAATGCGTTGTTTTTAAACGCACAAGCGTGTATAATTTGGGTGAACAACTTTTTACACGTTCCTTACCGTTTTGGGTCACGTCGTTTAGCATGTTTGAGACGTCTAAATTACAGTTTCATACGTTTGAACGTGCTAAACGACGTGACCGAAAACGGTAAAAAACGTGCGAAAAGAGATTCAGCCGAAATAACACACTTGGTGTCGCGGGGCACCGCGTGCACACGTCCGACCTCGTGTCCTTCTGCGTGTTTTTTCGCGCGAAATAAGGGAAAATAATAAGTGGGTCGCGCGCTCTAAAGAAAGCGATCGAGCGGAAGTGTCTCGCCCATTAGGTCCACTTGAGACGGCTTGCAATACGCGTTGAAAATTCACGAAGCCGTTGTCCGTCTCTCTCTCTCTCTCTCTCTCTCTCTCTCTCTCTCTCTCTCTCTCTTTCGGCGCGCGTAAAAATAACGCACGTCTCGAATCTGCCTCGGTCGTTGCTGCATTTGCGGGATAACGCAATTTTCTTGGGGATCCTTTTGGAGAACAGAGTCTCTCTCTCTTTCTCTTTCTCTCTATCTATCTATCTTTCGCCTGTTCAATCCTTCGATCGACTAAGGAGGAGAGGGCAAACAGTTGTCTGTAAGTCAAGTGATCGGCCGACGCAGAAACAATCGGCCGTCGAAATCTACGCGGGAAGGGTTAAGTTGAGATAACACACGATCCACGGTGGATGGAGGAAAGGAAGAACAGGACAGGATCTCGAAAAGACGGATGCACGATAACGCGGAGGAATGAGAGAGAGAAAGAGGAGAAGATGGGAGGTGATGCAACGGCGAACCCGATAAATCCGGGACGTGTTCACGGTTAACAATTCGATCAACGGAAATTCGTCATCGTCGTCGTCGTCGTCGTCGTCGTCGTCGTCGAAATGAGATGCCGGCAAAATCGAGATCGACAGTCGTGACGTCGCGATAATTTTCGAGAAAAAGACCGCCGAACCTGACAGCGGATAACAACTTTGCGGATAATGGCAATTTAATAACGCATGAAATTTCTGTAATTCATGCGATAGCGCCGATGGCCAGACCGAGCGTATAAAGGGGGGGGGGG